GCGGACTTGAAACCCCGTCCAGTCCTCATTGTCGGACTTTAAACATTACTTCCATGCATGAACTTTATGACAAATATGAACTTTTTGAATTTCAAACGAGAGTTCCTGTTCAAGTATTTCAGTTATTTCAGCATAGAACTGACAGTGTTGTCAAAGTTTTATGTCCTTAGAAATCAAGATGGCGGCTCGTGCTCGTGCACGAGGACATTCATCCACATTTTCCAAAGTTTTGTTGTTGTCTGTGTTTTTTGTTTTGTTTTGTTTTTTAGATGTCTACATAGTGTGTAAGCACTGGAAATCTCCTTTTATAGACGGGCTTGAATTGTTTGTGTTTTAGTTGCAAACTAAGTTACATGAACTTGCATCTCTAGAGCATTGGTAAACATTTCTTACATTTTTGAATTGGAGTTACAAGGAGTTACAAGTATCAAATGATGTAAAATCACACTGAGATAGTACACTGTCCTCTAAAAACTGTAGGTAACAACTGAAATCAACCAATTTGCTCCTATTTTCAAAGAAAAGGAAAAGAAAAGGCACATTTTGTGTGTCCATTTTGCAGGAGTCTGATTGGTTAATTACACACAATCCTGTAATATAATTGGTTGGCTTTTGATAGTTTTGCATTGTGATTGGCTGGCAAAAAGATGTAATTACGGAGTCAAAGTATTTTGAACCAATCAGATTTCTTGATTTGCTAKTGATTTCAAAATGGATATAGTAAACAATGAAAGTCTCGTCACGTGAAATTAGCWTTGTCTTTCGGTCTCASCTAATTACATCTGCCTTCACCTTGACTGTTTTGCATATCACAAAAACCTCATCGAATAATTGTTTAATAGAAGCCCTGGCAATACTTAGGAATTAGACTTATTGTTGTGATATATTATTATTCTGATACGTCGCATTATTTTCGCTATACCGTTATTTATTACAATCAGAAACACTGGTTTTACTAAAAAGAGTTTATAATTTCTATTTCATTTATTATATTTACTAAATATGCACTAATACTTTATTTATTTTTAAGATAAAGGAAGAATCAACAGTGACGCTGCCTGGGTTGCGAAAAATCAGAAAGTCGGTGAATATCTGCAGGTCGACCTYGGTAATACTACCACGATGACTGGCATTGCCACCCAAGGTTATATGCTTGGGCAATTGCAAGTATATGTCACAAGCTATAAAGTACAATATGACACCAAAGTTATTACCCCAGCATCTCCCTTTGCTGAAGCAGGCAAGAATTTTACGGGCAACAGTGATGCTAACAGTACTGTAAAGCACACTTTCAATCTATCTTTTGTTGCCAAATATGTCCGGGTTCTCCCTCAGACATGGCATCATACTATTGCACTTAGGATAGAACTGTACGCAGGCTGCTAAGAAAGCCGTTGATCAATGGCTTGTTCCTGTGTCAAACTGGCTGATACCTTGCATTTTTTCTTGAATTCTCTGATATTAATTTCTGTTAGTTATTTGGTGCCTTTTAACGGTTTTTAAAAAAACCGTTATATTTGTTTTTAAACTTTCATATTCTTCAAGTCCCTTTGAATAATGATGAYCACATTCAGTAGATTATATGAACGATTGCATAATTTCAAACAATAAATTGATGTACTCACATTTTGTTATTGCTTTAGGTCATTTGGAAGTTTATGTAATGGATATATTACATGGTCACTGCCATCAGAGAGTTATGTCTATGTCTCTACTTTCTCCTTACATCTCTTTATAATAATTTGACTACTGAATAATGAAGATGCAAAAAGTCAAAATATATTATTATTCTGAAAAATATGCCCAAAATATCGTGACATTTTGATGGCAGTACCTGTCTGTTTSCTTGCATAATACTATATATCAATCGAGCAATATATACGTTCGAATAAAGAGTAGAAATACTAGTTGAAAGTTGTGTGCCTTTTTCTTCAATTTATTCAATTTATATTATATATATAAATATATCCTTATAACCCTTATAACTTCCAGAGGATTTAATATTTTTCTTTTAAATTTTCAAAGCTTATCTTTAGCTTTGATATCTATCATCTGAGTGTTTTCCTATRTCAACATTATGAATTTAACAATAAAATGCTAATTACTGTCGGCCATTGTGAAAKTTGTGTATAGCTAAATGCCAGGGCGGTGAAATTTGAATGATTTCAAATTAAAGTTTTGCAATGTGAAAAATCTTTTTTTTGTTAACATCATCAATCATTTGCGAATTTTAATTAAAGTTATTAGCTTTTAATTAAAATTGCTAAATTGTATAAAATAGTGCTCCAATAGTTTGAAGAAAACAAACGAATAAAAAAAGCAAAAGAAAATACAAAATACAAAATAGTATCACTAGTGTTTCACGCTTCTACAGAAAGCAATCTAGCAAGCAAATGCAAATGCRTTATCTGTAAGTATAAGATGGCAATTGAAAAAATTTTAAATCTCACGATTTTTACACATGACAATTAAAGCTCACGTACGGCGAACGAGATCACGAAAATCTRCTATTGGCGTTGAAGCGAGATTACCCAGTTCAGTTTAAATCTTTTGTTTTTCATCCCTTAGTTTTCATCAATATAATATTTAGCATATACCTGTATAYATATACGAGAATGGACAGCACAATAGGCGGTCAGCGAGTGAATAAATTGCTTCTTTTGGACGACTGGATGTTTCCGCCAGAGACAAGACCCCTTTTGTGATGTACTCTCTCGTCGTGCCCTGCACCTAGACAATACAGAGCACGCAAGACGCAAATCAACCGATGCTACGCAGATRCACAGTAACGCCCATTGACCGCAYTGCACACTGGACAATAGAMMCGAACACAACGCGCGCAGTTTCCTTTTTCCTTRGTAATAAAAGCCGAAATTACTGATCAAAAAAGCTGACATTGATTGGTGACTTTCCTTGCAGGCAGGACAATGATGACAGGGTCTGAATGG